TCACTTGAACCTCACACTTAAAAGTATGCTCTTTGATGCTTTCATTGGGGGTTAAACAGTATAGTCACTGTGTATGTGTGCTTTCTCTGTTTTGCACCGAGCCGAATATATCCCTTAATTGCGCTTCCCTGCGCACAGTAAGTCCGCGGATGCTGCCAGGATTAAGGCCCTTAATCCTCAAATCCTAACCCCTAAGCAGCCACGAATGGAAAGGCAAGCATAGATGTCGCTGCTTGGACCAGGTAGCACGTACTTCTGTGCCACTAGATTACTGAGAAAGTAGCAAGAAAGACAGTGTAGCTCTGTGTTCTTCCCTTAGCCCCCAAGCCCGAACCCTTCCCCCAGAAAGCCCATGACCCGCTTCGGAGCCTTAGGGTAGTGTAGCCGAGATGGCTCCGAGTTTTAACTCCCCGAAAAGCGTTCGTCCGGCGTCAGAGGTCTGGCCTTCGAGTGCTTCCATTTGGTGGCTGATGTGCACGGCCCGACCCCTGGTCAACTGAAACCCTAACTATAGTCTCCTTATTTGTATTTTGTTCATATAAAAACCAAGGGATTTTTTTGAAATATTGTGTTTATTATCGTTGTATCGGAGCTGTAGTAAATCTTACAAATTTAGTTAAAATAAACCGCCCACCCCAAAACGCCCTACACTCTGAAACGGTAAATCCAAGCCCGAATCACGGAACCCCATGCTGAATCGATGTTTGCGTCCGGTAGATGCTTCGACCCAGACCCTACCTGTACTCTCCAATGTGTATGTAGTTTCTGTTTTTGCATAGTGGATCCGAACCATAAGATTGGAAGCCAGGAAAGAAGGAATTGGCATGAATTGGAGAGTATAGGCAAACCGCCATATAGGTTCAGTCACCTACATAGTGGGTCACTGTTCCGTAACCCTGTTTATACATTACAGTACCCATGGCCCAGTGGCCAACTATGCCGATAACTTAGCTTGCAGTCACTCGGTGCTTCGGTGGCAGGAATAAAATTCGAATCCCCGACCAGCTGGCCCAATCAGATCTTCCGGTTCTCGGAGTTTGTTCCCTGCTTTGGCCTGCACCCACGGTGACAGAGTGCAAAGCCTTAACAAACATCCCTGAATTCCTAGTTCTATAGTTCTAGGAGTCCAGGGGTTTGGGACTTCCTGTCAAGCCCTCAATTTCGAAATGAAGAGTTCAGGGTTCACCCCTACTTTACCTTAACAAAAGCAAGAAGGAGGCAAAGCCAAGCATGTCAAGCCTTACTCTGCCTCACAAAACCCTCTGCGTCCATGTAGCAAAATAGAATCTACTTTGGCCCTACAGTATTTACTATTTCCAGGCCGATGTATGTATGTATATATATATATATATATATATGATATATATGAGTACATGGACCCTTATACCTAGACCTAGACCCTATAGACCCCTTTAGGGAACCCTTATGGTACCCTTAAAGGAGCCCTATTTGGGTACATGGACCCTTGGGGAGAGTGTGCCATCTGAGCCCGAGGTTGGTGGCCGCGCCTCCGACTTCTGCACCTGGCGCTCTTATCCCTCGAGCCCGGCACACGCTCGGTGAGTTCAGTCCTGGGCAGAAGGAGGCCAGGATTGCAAGGCTTTGTGTGTGGCTGTGTGTATTACATGTATGTATACATGTTCTGTAGATATAGACATATAGACTCTATATAGACATCGATGTAGATATAGACTTTGCTACAGACTTCTGTAGATATTCGTACTCACTGGATACACGTCTGTTTCCGTGCTTGGGGATGTATGTGTTTTCAGATGTACAAGTGAATATGTGTATGTTGCTTGTATCAATCTTTTCTCCCGTCAAACAGGGATCCCTGATGTTTGCCAGACATCGAGCGTACAAGCTATGACAAACTTCCGTGCAGTACCTTCATGCTTGTGGTATGTTTGCTTTCGAATAACTGCTTTGCAATTTTGCTGGAACTTGGGACCCGTTGTGTTCATGTACAGCTCTGTGGCAAACTGTCTTTTCTTTGTCACCAGTCGCCGTAATACTTGCCTGCCAAAGTCCCGAAAACCCCTTGCCTAAGCTAGAAAAGCAGGGTCCACCACCACCTTAGGGTCGAACCTGAAATCCCAACCCTAAAGCAGGTCCGAGCTGATGGAGCTACGCTGGTGCCATCAGGGCTACGATGACCTGCGAGATGAGGCCTTGCTTCATGGTGCGCACGGTAGTCAGGCTTTAGCTTTACTCAGGCTTTTCTTTACGAGTTATGATTATGATGTTCAGTATTTGTGGCTATGATTTTCAGATCTGGTTAGTGCTCAACTGGGCTTATAAGTAGATATAAATGTGTATCGTGCTAAAGATAGGCCTGCTGTCTAAGGCCCCGATCCTTTAGGCGACAAACCCAACGGGTCCAAGTATCATTATGGTATATACTTAGACCCCCCAAATACCCTATAAGTATATACCATAACCCTAAACCCTAAACCCTAAACCCTAAACCCTATACCATACCATAGTGATGATACTTGGACCCTTTGGGAAAACAGCGAATAGTCGCCGAAGAACTCCCAGAGCCTCGGACCAGCTTTTGTGCTCGACTTTCATACCCAGAGAGCCCAAGGGGCCCCTTAATTCAGGAATACCTAGGGTTTCTTTAAAGGGATCCTTTAAGGGATCTCTAGGGTTAAGGGTTTAGGTGATTCTAATACCCCTTAATTAAGGAATATACCAAACAAATAATAGGGGCTTTAGTGTGATATGATTTTAGGTATATTCCTTAAAAGGGGTATTGGGATCTCTGGGTAGGACTTACGTATCTCTCACGTGGACATTGCCCAAACCATAACCGTAGGTTTTTTGAGGTAGATGCTACGTTCTGCTATGTAGGTACTTGGGACCGACTGGGCATGTTATAAGATCGCATGATGTGCACCTCTCATTTGTCAAACTTCTGCGTGAGAGCCCGGACGAAACTCTTGGTTAAGCCAGCCCTCTAGATTTCTCAGAAGTCCACCAGTGCCCCAAACTCCAAACAGGACAATGCTAAGCCCAACACCTCGAGCAGCCTGCGATGGCTGCGTTTCACAGTGCTTCTCCCTAAACCCTAAACCCTTAACCCTTAACCCTAAACCCAAACCTTCAGCCCGAAGCCTCATAAGTGGAACGCCGCATAAATCATTTCACATTTCTGTATAGACCAACTTCTTGGAACCCTTGAGGCAAGCCCTCATGGAGTCCTTCGCAGAGCCGATAGAACCCCTTTGCGAATTATAACACACTCTTAACCCTAAACCCTAAGCCCTAAGCCCCATAAACCCTAAACCCTAAACATGCTCCCACGGGCTTTTTGTGAGGCCGAGGCAGCCGCCGGGGCCGTGCCAGAGAGCCAATTACAGGCGGCCGTTTGGTTGCTTTGCTTGGAGTCTGCATAGGGTTTCGGGGTTTAGGGGGTTAGGATTTAGGATTTAGGGTTCTAGGGTTTATAGGCTGGGTTTAGGGTTTATGGGTTTTCACCCACCTTTTCAAGGATTCATATAAGGAAATCATAATAAGGAACCCTAAAAAAAAAGGTTCTTCAGGATTAAGGTAGGGATTTAGGGGGTTAGTGTTTAGTGGTTTAGGGTTTAAGGAGTCTATGATGGGGTCCATTGGGTACTATGGGGTTCTTTCTATAGCGGGGGTGGTTTAAAGGGTACTATGAAACAGGGTCCCGTTTGAGGGCTGATGGGCTGATGGGGTCCATTTCTGTTTGTATTGTTTGTACAAAGGTGACGCAAGGATTTCGCAGGCTCAAACCATAGGGTTGACTGAAGGCACGGGGACTGTTGGAACAGGGTTTGGGAGAAAGTATTATGGTGTAGCTGTTGTGGGTTGCAAGGGCCTACTATACCTAAACTGTTGACAGTCCGACCCCTCAAGTAGGGCTTTTCCAACCCCAATATTCCCAGCACACAACTTCCATATTTACTTAAGACCAAAATGACTTCATACTGTCCCACGAGCCGCTACAGCCTTAGGGAGTCTTAGGTCTCCGATGAAGAACGCCTGCGCTAGGAAGTTAAGGGAAGCCGCAGGAACGACTCTGCAGCCTCAAACCCAGAGATCCCAATACCCCTTAATTAAAGAATATATACCTTAAATTACAATAGGATCCCTAATATGATTTGAGGTCTATTCCTTAATTAAGGTGTAGTGGGTTCTCTGGGAACCCGAACCCAGAGATCCTTCTCCCGAGTGGCCTCTGAGCCGAGCAGGCGATACGGGTTCTGCTTCTCATCAGGCCGGGGTGTTGGGTTTCCCCTAAACCCCCTTACTCATAGGCCCCATAGTGGTTCCTTTTTGGGATTACCTTAGGATTCTATATATGAACCACAGTAAGGAACTACTTTGGGGCCTGTGGGTAAACCCTAAACCCTATTACGCGCTCGGATTTCCGGCGGCTTGGGTGTGAGAGTTTGTTTTTGTTGGTCTTGTTGAATCAGACCTCGCTCCGAGACACTTGCAAGGGCCGAAGAGGCTGCGGAAGATGTTCCTGGCTCTGCCCAATCTTCTCTGCAAGATCAGCGGTGGCCTGAGAACCATCAGAAGATTTAGGGCTGAGGGTTTAGAGTTTCGACGCGATGAGCTCTGTACCTGTTTTCGGGACACGAGCAGCTCAACGAGACGTGACCCTGCTGCGAGGTCGGAGAGCAGCAGCTATAGCGAGAGATCTGAAAGCACGAGCTCGTAGGGTGTCATTTGCCCAAAGGCCGCAAAGTAGTTCCTTTTGGGGGCTCATATATAGAATCCTATAGGGAAATCCCAAAAAGGAACTACTTTGGGGCCTCTGGGTAAGCTGACATGAGGTTTGCAATTAGGGAGGCTTCTGCCAAAGGCGCTCTTGGGTAGCTGCGCTGCTTGCCTCCGACGGAAAATCGAGTTATGAATCTCATTCACGAAGGGTTCTGTGCTGTGCCTGCCTGCATGAGGCGAACAACGACACTGCAGCTGTGTATGGACCTAGTTTTATAGGACAGGTAGCCCTGAGAAGGATGGCTTTCAAGCTCTTGGCTCTTGCCACGCTGGCTTCTGCACACAAGCCTGTCTTCGACTACACTTTGGCCGTAAACTGCCCGATCTGCAGACAGTACGGGAACAGCACAGTGAAGGACCTGCAGTGTTCATGGAATCGGTTCGAGTCTCCGTTTATGAAGAGGCTCGGAGAAGGTTCATATTTGATCTTCCGACTGCGATTGGTAAAAGCCAGACGAGAGATCTGCGATATGTGAGTTTCCGAATATTGGGGGTACCTTATTTTGGGGTCCTGATAATAAGGATCCTACTATACAAGGTACTATATTAGGGTCCCCTATTTTCGGAAACTCCCATACGTACTTCCAAGCCTTAGACATCCTTACACTTTGACCCGAAGAGAGCATTACTCCGAGACCCTTCAGCTCCAGGAGATCTACAATACCCCTGGTGTTCAAGAGGGCGTACACTTCCAGCTTCACATGGGCATCCGCAAAGGACCGGATAAGGGAGCGAATGTCTACCCAAAGGCCCCAAAGTAGTTCCTTTTCGGGGTTCGTGTGTAGAATCCTGTAAGGTAATCCCAGAAAGTTACAGCTGGGTCGCTGGTTGTGCCTGAATTCCTGATGCAAGAAGCAGTATGTTTGGCCGGAGGACAGGACGGCAGCTACGAGTGCGTGCTAGAAGAGCCTGGTTGCCCCATGACGCGATATTTCCTCTGCGCGCAGCGCGAGGCCAACAGCACAGGTGCAGACATCATGAGGCAGGGCTGGCTCAAACGCAAGAATCCTGAAACTGAAGCCAGATCTCAAGGCTGAAGCTTTAAATGGAAAGGCCTTGCCTGAACCCCAGAAGTATGTCGAATAATAGCCTTTTAGAGGTATTGGGCCATGATTTTACCTACTTTTTTTTGGGGGGGGGTCTAGGTAGGAATAAGCAAGCGAGTCTCTTCAAAAGAGCTTTTGCTGCTCGCTGCCTGGCAGGTTCCTGAACTGCTTCAACGAGAGCCCGCTCGTCGAGCCGAAGGACAAGCAAGCACTGGTCCCCTGACCACCTAGGGCTCCTTTAAAGGGATCCTTTGAGGGATCTATAGGGTTTAGGGTTAGACTTACCTTTGGTTAGTAGGGAATGGAAGAATGGTAGTAATGGTAGTTATACTTGTACCCCATTCCTCCGTGCCCTACGAACCGAAGGTAAGCTGAGCTGAAGGCTTCATCATGAGGACCCTTAGGGGCGAAGGGGGTATAGGGGGCCTTAGCACCCAAGTGAACAGAAAGCTTTCCCTAAATCTTTTACCCTAGGGTTCCTTAAGATCCTCGAGACTCGAGGACTGTCGTTTTGGTAGTTGTAACACAGTTTGTTCCTCAGGTCGCTCGGGTGCATGGCTGCAGCTCTTTGGCCAGCATCGAGGTTCCCAAGGTGGAGACATGGCAGCCAGTTGGGGCGGGGACTTGCTGTTGCTGTTTTGTGCGTAAGGTGTTGGGGTTCGGGGTTTGGAGTCTTTGCGATTAGAATCTTCGAGGTTTGCGGCTTCAGATTTAAGAGGGGTATCATAGGGACATCTCTCCAAGTCTCGGTGTGAAACCCCGAAATTGCAAGCATGGGCTTCGACTTGGATGCCGACATCCCCGAACCTTCAATGCTGCTAATGCCCTTCACCTTTGACGTTAAGATCCCTCAGCCCCTAGACCGCCTAAGCCCATCATATCATTAAAGAAGCTACCCAGAGGCCCCAAAGTAGTTCCTGTTTGGGATTACCCTATAGGATTCCATATATGAACCCCCAAAAAGAACTACTTTGGGGCCTTTGGGTAGTGTCAGGAAGCCCATTCCTGCTTCAGCTGAGGAGACCTGCAACGCAGAAATGGGCGATGCTCTCCTTGCAGAGGCAGATGTTTCTTCCTTTGGCCAATGCCTCCAGGGTTCCGGGTTTGATGGGGAACGCCAAACCCTAAAGTCCTGAACCCCAAATCCTAAGACCCCAAACCCTAAAAGCCTTCAGCCCTAAAGCCTCATAAAGCCTTCCGCCCCAAACCCTGAGTCCCCAAACCCCAAAGCCCTCCGCCAAGCACTCCAAACAGGCTGAGAGCTACTTCGTCACCCGCTTCCCCGAGTTTTCCAAACCCGGTCCCGGACCCTTCGGCGTGCCCCATGTCTTCATCGATGGCGTGCAGGCCAGATGGCCGTTGATGGCAATGCCATCAGTAGCATTCTTAGTATTGTGGCAAGTAGTCCTCTTCTTTCCAGTAATCACAGTTGATTGTGACAAGCGGGGATCATATAGATTTTTTCAATCTATATGACATGCGTGGGGGGGCTGAGTCGAATGGGCAACGGCAGTGGACTTCCCGACAAAATTCCGCATCAGCAGGGGTGGATAAATTGTGGCCCTCATCTCTGCCCCATCACGTTGTGTCCATTTATTTTGATGGTCGTGCATTTAGCAGCAAGTCCATGAAAAATGGCCCGTGTCCATGCCGCAGGTGGGTCCTCACGGGTATGCACGCCTCTCCAACTACAGCAACACCATGAAGCTGCTGTGCGATGCAGGGCTGCAAGCTAGCGCCTGCCAGCAGAACATCATCGTCTGAGCGCCATTTAACTTACTGCGTCCTTAAGAGGATCTCTTAGGACAACGGTGACAAGCCGAACCGCCAAGTAGAAAGCTTCCAGTGGCGATGATTAAAGTGTCCACGTCCGGGGCCGATCTTCCAAAGACTCGGAGGGCCCAACACTCTTGAATAAAGCAACCCCGCTGTAGTTTTAGAGCCATTCCTTGTTTGAGTAGCACTGGGCTCTCTGTGTGATCGGAGGAGAGGTCCGCCCATACTTGCGCTTCCGAGACCAAAGAAGGGCGGGTTACGGTCTGGGGTTGAGGTCCCGGGCTTCACACCTGCAAGCCGGAAGGGAACTTGGGGGGTCGGGGACTTCGTAAGTAGTTAGTAAGTAGACTTATAAGTACCCTAAAAGGGACCCTAATTGGTGTTATGGTACTTATAAGTCCCTAAAGAAACCAGTTACTAAGTTCCCCGACCCTCCAAGAAGGATGCACTTTCCGGGAGTGGCTGGCTCATGTTTGGCTCTTTTGGTGTTTCGGTACCAGGACCCACCTTATACCTTATACCCCCAAATAGGGGTATCGGTATATGGTCCCAACTAATGGGTACTTAGGGTCTAATAGAGGGTAGATGGAGGGTCTAGGTACAGGGGCTTTCGGGGGGTTGTTTGGGCCTTTGTACTTCTCGGCTTTTGAAACGACTTGAGGCTTTGGGGCCCAAGGGCTCAAGTCGGATCTACATTAGAAGGGGCCCCCACCCTGCAATAATGACTATAAGGATGATATTGGGGCCCTGTTATATTCCCATTATACCACTATTACAGGGTGGGGGCCTCTTCTAAGATCTACAGGCGTTCTTTTCCACGTTCAGTGCTCCCTGGACGATGCAGAACACGCAGTGCACGGAGTTTGGGGCAGGCGAAACTCTTCGACGAGGAGATGCAGGTCTTGCATACGACGACGGAGGGCAAGTTCTCAGGCAGGGATGGAGGGTTTCAAAGCAACAGCCAAAGGCTCCGATATCAAGTCACGGAGGCTACCATGCACTGGTTGTTACTCGTGCACCTCGGTACTATTCTTGCAGAGAGCAGAACTTTGCTGGACAGGATACCCCACAATCACTAAACCAAGCATTGAAACCATGTTGACACTCCTTTACATGCAACGTCCCCCCTCCATGCTGGGGTTTTGAGAATTTCGGACTACGGACAACGTCTGTTAGGGTTTGACACAGAGAGTGCGCATGCCCTTAACGATGACGAGCACGTAAGGCTTCAAACCATTTCACCAGCCGAGAGGCGTGCGGAATGCTTGTTTCGCAATCAATGCGAGGTTTTCTGCCTCCTGAGCCCTAATTAGTTACAACACCAACGGATCCCAAAGCCTTGGAGGTGGAGCTTTGGTGAAGGAGATTATCGTGCGGGCCAAGCACCTGGAAGGCCACGACCCACGTGGGAACCTGATGGACTGACCAGTGAATCTCATGAGGCATCCAAAAGGGATCCGGACATAGTGTGGGTGTGGAAGCAGGGTTTCTACGTTAAGCCCAGCTCATGAAGCCTGAAACCTGCATCTTTTGGCAGACGCCTCAAGATTTTTTGGGTGCCAGGTCTGGCCTGTTCTTGCCTTTAGCACTTGTTTCGTCTTACATGTTTCTACCTGCACAGATTTCATCTAGAAGCATTAGATGCGGGATTTTCCATGGTAGGTGGCCTCTGCGGCCTCCACCCAAACCAACCTTAGCTTGAGCCCAAAATCGCCACAGTAGCAGGTCTATGCCCCAAATAACTCAACACGAGAGCCTAAACCTTAACTTGCAAAGCGGAAAAAGCTGCAGATGGAGTCAGACAGTAGGAAGATCAAAATCCTTATGCCCTTGAGGCACAGCATAGAGAATCCTATATAGCGTTACCCAGTGACAGGGCTCAGGGTACGTCGACCCTCCGTTTCGGTTCCTTCGCATATATTGCTTGCTTGCCCTGGCAGGCTCCAGCAACTTGAACCTCAATGTGTACTATCCTGGTGCGCTCTGTCGGGATGTGGGGCGAAGTTATTGGTTTCCTTGTTCAAATACATTTCAAGCACGGGGAGGATTGAGGGTTTGCGGTTCTCTGAGTCCGGGTCCACAGCAGGGATTCGTTGCCGGTCTGTCAACACCCGCAGATACATCCAGCAACAGCAAGTCCCAAATCTGAGAGCAGAAGTCACAATTTCCCCTGGAAAGCCAACATCTCTCGAACTGCAGAGCCCGAGTCTCTGAGGCAAATTGTTGCAAGGCGCAACCGAGATTGAGATGGTCTTGAACATATCCTGCACTTACTACTATCGTACGTTAGTCACTCCACATGAACTAGGTACCTTAGACTGGCAGATATCTGCTCTTCGTGCCTAAACCCCAACCCGCGAAAGCAGGTACGAGCGAAGAGATCCTCGGGACCACAACGGCTGGAGCCTGAGAAGGGCAGCAGCCAAGCCCAGTGTGAGTAGTAAGGTCAACACCACGACTAAAGCTTTCAAGCTCATGCTAAAAGAGTTATTAGTGCAAAACAAGAACCATAGTTAGAATGACCATATTAGCAAGAATCATGGTCGTCATGACCGTCGTATCATCCTCCGAACTCCTGTATCTGCAATGCTTCAATAATATGCTTTACAGCTCCCGACCCTCGCAGGTGGGCTACATTGATTCTTTGGCAAGCGAGCCCAAGCTCCTGTCTCAGAAGCTATTGGATTCGGGGCTTGAGAAATGGGAAACCACATATGTTTACATGAATAAACAGAAATATATCAACATATGTACATGTATCATATGCGAAGATGTGTATGTGTATATACACATACACATCTATATGCATGTGCGTGTATAGATGTGTTTGTATATGCATGTAAATAAGTATGTATGTACTTGTGTGTACTTATACATTCATACACGTACACATACATACATGCATACGTGCATACATATGTGTAAAAGCCTATAGAGAATCGATGAGCCGTCAATGTTGACATCATTATTGCAAGGACTCTTGAAATAGGGGGCCAGGTGCCTGTATGGTTGGTACTTGGGCTCTACAGTACCTATATAGGAACACAAAGCAAAAAGCACACGATCCTTTAGGGATGGAACTCAGGGCCGTGCTTGGCTTGGTTGACTTCAGAATGTGTATTTACACTTGTTGGCCCACAAAGATCTCGAAGCTAAGTAGCCCACCCCATGTTCAAGAACGCTAAAACTCTTGTCCTCTGCCCAAAGCCCTGACACCCTAAGCCCGGCACACCCTCAATATCGTAAGCGCCTAGTCCCTGCATGCCCAAATTTGGACATCGCCTGGCCTAAGAACTGGTGGTGGCCGTGCCATGTGGGACTTCATCTCAGGCACCCCCGGGTAAGCTGAAGGAGTGTTACTGTTGATGGACAAAATCCTGCATGACCCTAAGGACTCTAAACTATGGGAATTACGGTACATTCCTTATTCTGGGTAATGCAGGATTTTGTCCATCAGCAGTATGGGTGGTCAGGGTCACGGGTTGAGGGAGGAGTTTGGACAAGTTCTTTGTTGGGGCTTGAGGGTTCTGTGCTGTGTCCCTGGGTCATGTACCCATTTGATCATGTTAGGTGTTCGGATTTGGCCGGGCTTTGGCTTTCTTTCCGGTTTGAAGGTCTCGCTTTAGACTACCTGTCCGAAAAGACCTACCCTTTCAGGGTTCCTTCTTATGGCTTCTGTATATAGTTCCTCAAACAGGTAGGTCTTCTCGACTACAGGTAGAGCTTGCTTGCGCACTCGGAACGACCAGCAACTAGTCCGAGCTACCCACCCTGTTCTAAGGATTCAGGAACACACGTGTGGTGTCACAAGACGAAGGAACTTTATATCCTTCCTACGAGGACTCCGTCATCATTACCCCCGCATGAAGAGCCCCTGTAATACCTTTCACTGCACCACCTCAGACCGTCCCCCCAAAACATGGCAGCGTCGAGTTTTTGAGTACACAGACACAGGCATGAACTTCATTTGCATTGCCTGCCACTCGATCCTGCTGCAGAAGACAGTGGACTTTTGGCAGGCCGGTCTCGGTCCAGCATGTTCTCTAGCAGGGACCATCTGGGCTTCTTTGCCAACATGTTTAGAGGCTGCACAGCTTTCCGGTCGTCTCTCTATACATGAAGCATTCCAGGATACTCTGAGTACTAGAGCCTGACCTGCATGAATAATTGGAACACCGTTTGGAGGAATATTGTGCAACAGCGACTTGTCAGGGATCTAGCCTGCAAGGCCTGAAATCTGGTTTGTGAGGAGTCCTAAATCGGAACACCCAAACCCACAAGCCGTGAACCCTAACTTCCAGCGAATGCAGACAGCCGGCAGCGCTAGAAAAAGCACTCCCAAGTCCTCGTCCCCACGGATTACCATTGTAGGTCACAAGGTTTCCAGCAATGCTATGTTAGTCAACCCCACAGATGCAGCAGTTTTGAGTGTGTTCGTTGTAGCTCTGATCTATACATATTCAGTGAGGGAATCTCAAACCCAATACCCTCTAAGGTCTTCAGTGCAATTCCTCTACTTGTTTGGAAGACAGAGTAGACTAGTTCAGGCTCAGGGTTTGGAGATGTAGTTGCAGCGATTTTGGGCAAGCGAGCTGGGCAAGGCTGAGAGAGCACTATAGGGCGATCTTCAGATCTTCAACCTACATGCATCTGAGGCCTTAAGCATCGCTAACCCCAAGCAACAATAATCCCTAAAACCTAGCCGTACGACGTGTGGTCGGTAGAATCACTCCTGCAACCGAGAGTGTCTAGGCGCGTGGAATGCAACACATGGATCCATCCAACGAGAAGGCTGGAGGGGCTTCATACTCGTTTGTTTTTGTCTATCTGTTCCTGCATGCATACCTCCATTCATCGATCCATCCGTCCGTTTGTCTGTCGGTATATCTAATTAATTGAAACCAATCAATCAATCAATCAATCAATCAATCAATCAATCAAAATGTTTATCGATCTATTTTCTATATGTATCTATGTAGCTATCGATGTGCATCGATCTATGGATCTGTCTGTCTGCCTGCCTTACCTGTCTGTCTGTCTTTCTGTCTGTCTTTCTGTCTGTCTTTCTGTCTGTCTGTCTGTCTGTCTGCCTTTCTGTCTGCCTTTCTGTCTGTCATAGGTACACATGCTGTAGCTAGTGCATATGTATGTATGCATGTAGGTAGGTAGGTATGTACGTAGTTATGTACGTACGTATGCATGGATGTATGTATGTGCTCAAGTGTGCATGTATGCATGCATGCATGTATGTATGCATATGTGTTATGCATTTATGTTACGAATGTGTGCATGCAAGTGTATGTTGTTTTATGCAAGCATGCATGCATGTATGTTTGTTTGCATGTACGTATGCATGTATGTATGGATGTATGTATGTATGTCAATGCGTGTATGTATGATGTATGTAGTCCTGCATTCGTACATACTCATGCATGCATGCGTGCATACATTATTAAGCACATGTATGGTGGTAATGAGTTCCAAGCGACGATACACTTGATGTTCAAGACGCAGAGGCAATCCATCACGCACACGTGTAATGCAGGGGGAGATGTAAGTACATGTACAATTCAATGTACGTCCGCCGAGCTTTAGCATTGATACCTCCAGGTCCTAGTGTAGGTCTGTTCTGACTCGTCTCAATGGCATGCGCTCAGAAGGTGGAGTGCAATACTCCTCTCCCAACATGTAGTCTCATTGGTTATCCGACGGTTATCCGCGGTTGTTGATGGAGTCCGATAAGTGTGTGGGTGGACTTGGTAATTCATGGAGGCTCACGCCTGCAAAGATGAACAGGTTCATAGCATGATTGTTGTTCCAGCTGTATTCGCCTGAAACATGTGGAGCAGAAAGCGCACTTGTGGATAGACATGCTACACCTGTATGACAGAGGAGTACAGAAACAGATCGCTCCCTCTGCTGAACATCTGCCAGCCTCACAAGGATTGCAACGCGTTTCGACAGCTCGTGATGGTCCATACCATGGGCAAGGCAGGTCACTCTTTGGCTGAAGTCGAATCCGAAGCCGGATCCCTAAACTTACCTTTGGCTAGGGGGGAATGGAGGAATGGGGTACAATTATAACTACTATTGCTACTATTCTTCTATTCCCTACTAACCAAAGGTAAGTGAACCTTGCACCCTCGACCCCATGCCACTTAAGAAGGATGCAGGATGATCCTCGTGGACCACCAGAGCTACTCGTAGATGTTGCGGGTTTCGTTTGAGTTCCTTCTTGTCTTCAAACTGCCAAGATCTGCGATCGATGCATAGCCCCTTATGGGTTGGGGATGTAGTGGATTGGGGGCCTGTTTCCGAACAACTTTGGAGGCTAGGCGGCTAGGTTGCTGGAGTGCAGCTCGTGCGAAGATGCACCTCAAAAGGCTTTGCAATGGCTTGCTGTTTGTTTTCGGCACGTTTACCGGCATGGGCGGCATGGGCATTGCAGTGGCAGTTTCTGGCATGCCGTTTCGTGAAGATGAAAGCAAGCATAAGGATTGTGTCCTTCCTCATGTCAAAACTCTTTCTCGACGTACCTCTTTTGCTTTTGGGGCACGTGGGCCTTGCTTTTCGTAGGCAGGGTTTGCAAGTAGAGTATATGGCCGCATAGTAAGCTGTTTTTACAAGCGGACTATAAGGGCGTATGGCTACGACTTATCCAAATCCCGATCTTGTCGTCAAGATCCGCAGTTCGATGAAGTGCACCGCTGGGGTTTACTGGGTTGCTGTTCAGGAGTTTGGTTTAAGTTACCATAATAGAAATCCATGTTATTTACTCTAGACCTCTATTCTGGTAACTTATTTACATTAATTCCTTAACCCCTAAACCTTTGAAGAACCCTTAAGGGAACCCTTATAGATCCCTTAAAGGAACCCTAAAGAGCCCAGTTTAGGCTTTAGGGCTCATGCTCTTGGGAAGGTCGTCTGCGAGCTGCAGGACCTTCAGGAGGCCGACTGCCTCCAATCCTGTTTTCTGCAACCCAACTTCCGGGTCCTTAATACTAAGAACAGGGTTCCTTTAAAGGGCTCCTTTATGGGATACTATAAGAGTTCTAAACGGGATTTAGGGATGTAGGGACCATCATAGTTACCTTTGGGGGCTTCCTTATTATAACTATAGTGTAATATTCCTCAAAACCCTAGTCTAATCATTAAGGCCCCTTTTTTGCCTGGCCCTACCTGCAGCTGCGGACCCCTAAACCTACATGTTTGAGGATATAAATAAAAGGAAACCTGAATCGGAAACCCTATAAACCCTACCTAGCCAATACCTTGAAAATGGTACTTGTCCCTCGCAAGTCGGGCATGCTTACCTTTGTCACGAGGTACAGTCGTGTCTTTCTGGTATACTCATATGTGATTTTCATGGGTGACTTGGGATTGTGAGGTTCAATGCTCGTTGCATTTAAGGTTGCCTGCTCGCCCCGAAACCCGCAAGTTTCTAAAGCCTCATATTGGGGTCGGAATAGCTTCGTTATGTTGTTTTTTGGGGTTCCTCTTGTTTTATAGACCTATAGTACAATTCTAGACCCAAGCCTTGTTGAGCCAAACGTGACCTGACCTGCAGGCGCTGCCGAAAAGCAAGCTGCCTTTATTTGCCTCGCCCTGAGATCCTCGCAAACTCTACCTCTGCACCTTCGCCTTTGCACTTCAAGCTTCAGGTCGTCTTCATGATAAGGGTTACTATAAGGGTTCTGTCAAGGTTTCTATGGTTTGAAATGTAAGTCCTATCTAGGAGGACTGAGCTCGACCATCTCGTGCAGGGCCGACGTTTTCTTTAAACCTAACCTCTTAGCGACTTCAAAGTGCAGCTCTGCCTCCAGCAGACTCCGCAACCGAACACCTTAAAATCCTCGTAGGCCTGTTCCAAAAAATTAGGTTTTGAGGGTTCAGCAATGTCGGGTTTCGCTTTGATTTCTTTTGAGACTTGAGCCTGCTCGGAGGGGCTGTGAAGAGTCCAGAAACCTTGGCCAGCAAGTTGCTTAGCGACAGTAGGTTCAACAGCTTTTATCGTTATCATACAATATGTCATAGTTCTAGTGTACAATACATTTAGATCATGCTTTCCCATTGGTTAGCGGTCTGTTGTAAAGTATGTGAGGTCTGCGAGCTGGTTCCCTTGGAGTCAACAGCTTGCAGCAGAAGTCTGAACCTTGTGTTCCCCGACGCTAAGACCCTAGAATGTTTAAGACCCACCCACAGGCTCCATAGTAGTTCCTTTTTGGGATTACCTTATAGGATTCTAGATATTAACCCCCAACAGGACAGGAACTACCATTGCCATGGAGCCACTAGGTATATACTCTTTTGATTCAGGCCCTGGAAGCAGCTCGCGTGTTCTGGATTTTCAGGAAAGCCCAAGCCCTCGCACTTTTCGAGCTTCGGCCTCGAATGTAGAAACCACATGCATGGGTCGTTGGTTCAGAGAAACGGTTTGTTCGAGATGGAAGCCTTCCAATCCGTAAGCCCAATCTATGCACGTAATTCAACTGGTCGGACTCCGAATGGCAAGCGCTGCTAAACTGCTAAACCCCCGGGATGTGTTATACTAGTTGACGCTTCGGGCTTTCCGGGCTTCAGCTTGTATTTCCCTCAGGGTCCATGTACGCAACTAGTATATACTTTGGGCACAATGTAGCTATATAGGCAGTACTTTAAGGCCACTGTACATACCATATGAGTACATGGACCCTTAGGGTTTCTCTCCCTATATACCGGCAACCCTAATCAACTTTCCAGCGCATGAGCCAGAATCCACTCAACTCAACTCCTCTTGGAGGATATGAGTAGTCATAAGTATTAGAGTTATAAGTATTAGAGTTATAAGTAGTGTAACTGTACTTATCACTCATATTAGGGGACTTATGATTATGACCTTACTTATAACTACCCATGAACCTCCAAGCTCCACAGGTCTGGGTTCCTTCCCGCTTTTCGGAGGCTGGCTACTCCACGGTACAGAGGTTGAGGTTAGGGTTTAGGGTTTCGGGTTTAGGGTGTAGGGTTTAGGGTTTAGGGTTTCGGGTGTAGGGTGTAGGGTTTAGGGTTTAGGGCTTCGGGTGTAGGGTTTAGGGTTTAGGGTTTAGGTTGTTTACGCTTTTCGTCGCCTTCCGAGCTGGTGACAAGTGCCAGGGCGAAAAAGCCGAGGAGCCCGAAGCTGCGGTGTAGAACGATTGAAGTAAAGGGAACTCCAGAAAGTTGGAATATGGTTTCAGGGTAGGATACCCTATAATTTACCATAAAGGGTTTAGGATAATCATATTCCAACTTTCTGGCTTCTACTGTATACCCAGAGGCGACAAAGTAGTTCCTTTTTGGGATTACCCTATAGGATGCTATGTATGAACCCCAAAAAGGAACTACTTTGGGGCTTTTGGGTAAACAGTGCGGACTGCTTGACTGTATACAAGTTCTTTGACCAGAACTAAAGTACCAAACATATAAGCCTTTCAAACTCAACTTCCAACGCTTAAATCCACACCACCGAGAGGTGGACTCAGACCTCCACGCCAACTACGTCTTCCGCCCTGACGAGGGGGCGCAGGAGATAGCTTCGCCGTAGGACAAAAAGGGGAGTCGCGCGCGTCCTGCAGCAGGCGAGGTTCGGACTGGACTGCGGGAGTTTCATTCATGAAAATAGTGTGTGTGTGTGTGTGTGTGTAGATATAACATATATATATATATATATACACACATACAGATATCCGGCACTATAATATGTGTGTGTATTCATATACTGCTACTGTTTCAGAGTCTCTTTGGCATGACAACTTATAGGTTTATGCCTTAAGGATCCCCCTTCTGAAACCTGTAAATTAGGACATTGCTATTTAACTCCCGCCCTCCCGACAGAAATAAATACCCGTGAAGAAGGCCAGGGACTCAGCACTGGCCGCCTCACCTTTGGACATGGGCAGTTCTCCAATTTTGGCTGCCTAGGTCCCCATTCTAGTACAGACCCTAATTTAGAGAACTACCCAAATTTTTCAGTGCTCAAAACTCAGAACGTCAGCTCCAAATGTAGCCCAGGATGGTTCATGTACTCAGGCTCAACCCCTAATCTGACGAAGCCGTATGTGGGGGGGACGTTTCAACACCTATATGAATATGCCTATGCCAGAAAGTGGGAAGGCACACTTGCTGCTCTCGATGTGAAGTCTGTCTGGCTGTCCTTCTAAGTGTCTGTCTGTATGTATGTATGGATGTATGTAACGTATGTTGAATCGTATGGTTTTTCGCATGCATGCATGCATGCATACATACACATTTTGTTTGGTCATGCAGCGATTTCTCTCCAAAGCGCAATCCTTCGACCTTTACTAACACAATCAGCAGAGCAACAACGGAGCTGCTAAGCTGGAGACTCAACCCATCGCAGTGAGCCAAACGACCAAAACTACCCCCGCCACGGAAAGCAAGCCAGAACTGAGTACGCAATCACACAGGCTTGTTGCTAGAAGAAGCATCAAGGACACGAAATTCTGTCTGAGCTTAGACTTGTTCGGATTCTCCAAACTGCAGAAGATCTGCTCCTCGACGCCCATAGCCGTCTCGGCCTTTTTGCAAGCATCAGCCAATGCGTAGACAGCTTTACAAAGTCAGGTTTAGCAGTTTCGAAGAGAATATGAGTGCAGGCCGGCATGATATGGGCTGGAGGCTTGATTTCCGGGATGGAGGTGTCAGGCGTCTTCGAGGCTCTATTTGCAGGCTCCATGTTTTTCAAGGTGGTACTACGGCTACAGTTGAAGACCGCTTGTGGTGTGCACTCTTTGCAACCCCACGTTGATTTGAGCATTCTGCCAGGGCCCCGGGCTGTACTTTGTACAGAAATTAATTGGGCTTATAAGTGATTACAAGTATACTTACCTTATTTATAGCCCTAATTACTAACTTCCATGATCCTTAAAGTACTGCTTCTGTTGCTTTCGCAGTCCTCGCAGCCCGCAGCAGAGCTTGCAGATCTAGAGCTGCTGGCAGCGTCACTCTATACTCGTCGATGGTATCACGATGTTTATCATTACCGTCACTCGCCATCACTCTCATCATCATATTAAGGGGCCACTGCGAATATCCCTGAAGTGACCGTTGCTAGAACAAGTCTCGGCAGTACCCAAAGAGAGCTCAGGCTGGGATGTGCCGAAATTAGAACCTGTTCATAGCATACTCACAGGACCTGTGTTGTTTAGGGGATTTCGGCTCGTGGAAGGGAAAAGCGCTCAAAGTCGGTACTTAAAGGATCGAGCCCTAATCGCCCTCAACCAAAACTACATTTATGTTGAAATCTTGGGTTGAGGGCTGATGGCTTAAGCCTGTTCCGTCCTGATTCTTGATACGTAGTCAGCTCAGCCGGAGATCTCCGAAATGCAGAGGTATGTAAGAAGACTATGCTCGCAGTGCATGGTGCAAACCTGCTGCAGATTGTACAGGTTCCGGACGGGGATTCCCAGGTGTTGTGAACTGCATCCACCTGCTGTGGTTCGCCCTTCTGTCTATCGGTCAGTAAGCCTATTCTCTTTGTGCAGTTGCTGATCCTGCATTGCCGTTCAGTGTCGAAGCCATGCTGAGGCTGACATCATGCCACGCATTGGCATCGTGTTCGAGCTTCGCCACTGTGACACAAAGTGCGCCGCCCAGAGCACAGGTTCCTTTGACCAGGGTAGACATTGGTGTTCTGCATGCGTAAAACAGTCTCGTCCACACATCTTCGAGCGTACGAGTCGAAGCAGCTCAATGTGTGACTCCTCACGGCCTCTGGCTTGAGATGTTTCATGAGCAGGCCTGGTGAAATGGTTTGTGTCCGTGGCTCCTTGGAACGGCGCCTTGGACGACAAGTGTTTAGCTGCGAGCGCTTTAGTTTATGTTTGGAGTGTATTTGGAGGTTCGCTTCCTCTGCGCTAAATATGTCGGGGCGGCGTTTCAGACCGCAGCAGATGCAGCTACGAATGAGCATAGGGTTGCCGTCTCGAAAGGGCAGGCGCTCAGACTCGAGAGATATGTTGGTTGTAACACGCTACAGTTCATGCCACTCCCAAACACACCGAACTGTGCCTTTCATACAATGCATGCCCCAATTATGGGGAAAAGTACCGGGAGCGGTTGCTTGGCGACCTGCTACACAACACCCCAAAGGCCCAGTGGAAGAGGGCTTAACGTCAATATCCAAAAGCCGGATCCCTCGCTTAATTCTCACATGAGGATGATCAGCGAGGGGTCAAAGCACTGTACCTATGGAAGATCTCCGGCAATGTCGCCGTGGGATCTTGAAATGGAAACCTTAAGCCATATATGATGCAGGGCTGCCACACCCCCCCTCCCCCCCCACCCCATGGTATCCTCCCCCCTTCCCCCCCGCCCCCCCCTGTGGTGTGGGGCCTGTGGTGGTACTCTTTTTGCCGCGACGTTCTTATGTGTTACTCCTTGTCTTCCCTCTTGCTGTGGCACCGGTGATACTCCTCAAGATGTTGTGCTGCTCTAGACCGGGACATGAGTCGACAATCAGACCATGCTCAACATCATCCTTGTCGTCGTCATCTTCATCATTAATACCTTCAAAAGAATATCTGCCACCATCACCATCGCCATACAACCCTCATAATTCAGCATTGCAATTCATGTCAGATGCTGGAAACTACTGAGCCGATTGCCGCTTTCCGCACCAGGGCATAGTGCGACACTCCCGATCCGCGCACAAGGTCAAGGGGCGGGCAAAGTGCGGGCGGGCCGGGGGGCGGGCCGGGGGGCGGGCCGGGGTGCAGCGTGCAGCAGTGGGGGGGGCGGGGGGTCGGATACCATTGGGGGTGAAACACTGAATGTTACACATCCAGGTGCCTGTCTGTTTCACGTATCACTTGCATGTATCCATGCCTGTTGCTCAAGGTTCTAGTGCAGTGGACTACAGCTGTGCGCCTGTAGCAAAAGAGACACCTGAGTGCCTGTGTTCCTGTACGCCTAGCGAGGGGATACACGTCCAGGTTACATCTCAACGTGGTAGCGGAGCTCCCGGGAAACGGGAAGCTTCACACTTGTGGAGGTACCCGTTCGGTACTCTCTACACAGGTGGAGGCAACCGGAATACCCGGTGTGCTTCACTCAGGTGAAGGTGACCGGAGTCTCTCCGGCACACTTCACTCAGGTGAAGATAACCGGAAGAGGTTTCTCCCGGGGCTCGATCCAAGAACAGCGCAATGGCTAGCCACTCTGCGACTATCTTTGAGCATGAAGGAGGAGATGATGACTACCTCCTCCACGGAAATGAATCTTTCGCGACTAATCATCGTCATCTCAATGAATTACACCGTCTTTCAGCTTTCCAGCAGGTGACCACCAAAGTACCTCCATCTTATGATGGTAGAAGCAGTTGGTTTGCCTATGAAGATGCGATCGATGACTGGTGTGACATTACTGAGCTAGACAATGATAAGCGTGGACCAGCTTTGAGAAATCGGCTAGAAGGTGAAGCAGCAATCCACAAGAGACTTCTCGACAGAGATCGCCTGAAGGACCCGAACAACGGAGTGAAGTACTTCAAGAGTTTCCTGCGGCCGCTTTTCGTGAAGGGAGCAGCGAATGTTTTTCTCTATCGCTTCCAGCAGTTCATGAACATGCACCGTGGGAACGGAGACATGCTTCGTTGGATTACCAGGTTTCAACTCTCTGTTCAGAGAATGCAAGAAGCGTGGAACGATACCTATCTGCCGATCGAGGACCCGAACAATGCAGAGGTCAGAGCTTTCATAGTAGGACTTCCTCCAGAAGAACAAGAAAACCTTACGCCAGCTCAGGCAATGGAGAGAGCCAACGAACGGCTCAGAGAGCAGCATGCTCGGACCATTCCGATCACGCCCAACCTGGTCGCTTTGATCTTTGTGTCCCTGTCTGATCTGACACAGGATCAGCGTCAGGTGTTGACATCACTGATGGCGCATCGGAACCGAGTCCTGGCTGACTACAACACGGCCGAGCTTCGCGAAGTCTACCTGGAGATCTTCTGTACGACCAAGACTACCGTCGACAATCCACTCCTCGCTCCTTCCGGCCACGGTGGCCGCAAGACCTTCCTTGTGATCGATGAAGGATATTTGAACGATCATGAAGGCTACTGGGTCGAGGACGAGGAAGATGGCACCGAAGGTTTCCTCGAAGCGGATGAGGACGCCTTCTGGGTCTACGACGACGAGAACTATTCATGGTTCCAGCGGCGCTTCCAAGGCCGCAAGATGAGGCGCGGATTCAAGGGCCACCGTAAAGGCAAAGGAAAAGGTGGCAAAGGATCCAAAGGAAGGCGCTTCTTCAAAAGGAAGAAAGGCAGGTCACATCTTGCCGAAGAATCAGAAGCATGGCAAGCAGAAGGACAATGGCAAGATTACCAGTGGAGCGATCAGTCCTGGGATGACTGGTCCTGGTACGAGTCTGAGGAATCCTATGCAGCCAAAGGAAAAGGAAAGAAAGGAAAGAAGGGCAAAGGAAAGAGCAAGTTTGGCAAGGATGGAAAAGATGGAAAGTCCGGAAAAGACGGACAGAGCCAGCTTGCTGATGCTGCCCCGAGCGGCACCACAGCCGCCA